GAGAGAGAGAGAGAGAATTTTTTTAACATTTATTTAGTTTTTCTTAGTTCTTGGTGAACACAACATCTTTGTTGGTATGTGGTGCTGCTGAGGATCGAACCCGGGCAGCACGCATGCTAGGCGAGCGCGCTACCGCTTGAGCCACATCCCCAGCCCCCCATCTGCTCTTAGTATCTAAAAAGTAATTTGTCATGTTTCAGGGAACTGGGACTTCTCCAGACATCTGTTGGTGTTTCCCTAAAGTTGGTTTACTTCAAAGAGTACCGCTCAAGAAATATCCCAATTTTTTATCTAATTTTATTGATAATTTTCAACAGCAGGACAGGCATGGGGGTACACACTATAATCCCAGTAATTTGGGAAGCTGAACAGGTGGATCAAAAGCTTTGCTGGCAGCCAGATGTGGTGGCGCACCCCTGTAATCCCAGGGGCTTGTGAGGCAGAGACAGGAGTTCAAAGCAAGCCTCAGCAATGGCCATGCACTAAGCAACTCCGTGAGACCCTGTCTCAAACAAAAACAGGGCTGGGGATGTGGCTCAGTGGTTAGGTGCAGGAGTTCAGTCGCTGGTACAAAAAAAAAAAAAAAAAAAAAAAAAGTTGTCAAAGGCCATCCAGGTATGATGGCACACACCTGTAATCCCAGCGACTCAGGAGAGTCTGAGGCAGGAAGATCATGAGTTCAAAGCCAGCCTCAGAAACTCAGACCCTGTCTAATAAAAAAGGGCTGAGGATGTGGCTCAGTGGTTAAACACCACTTGGTTCAATCCCTGGTACCAAAAAAAAAGTATTGAGGCCAGCCTCAGCAACTTGGACCCTGTCTAAATATGAAATTCACTTATGTTTCATAATGTATCATACGTAGCCTGAGAATAATTTTCTACAATATTCTTAGTGGCCCTATGATTTACCTTAGGCATTTTTCCCCAGTGCCAGGGATGGAACCCAGGATCTGGTGTATGCTGGGCAAGCTCTACTACTGAGCCACACACCAGCCCAGAAACTAAAATTTCAGACTCATCAAAAAGTTCGCTATTTTGCGGGGTGCCATGGTGCATTCCTATAATCCCAGTTGATTTAGGAGGCTGAGGCAGGTGGATTTCAAGTTCAAGGCCAGCCTCAGCTACTTGATGAGACCCTAACTCAAAAAATTAAGTGGGCCAGGGATGTGGCTCAGTGGTAAAGTGCCCCTGGGTTAAATCCCCACTCCTCCCTCCATCCCCTGCAAAATTAAAACAATGGTTTAAGACATTCCATTTAAATGTACCAAACAGAAACAATCAGTGGTAGCTGGGCGTAGTGACACATACTTGTAATTCCAATGGCTCCAGAGGCTGAGGCAGTAGGATCACAAATTTCAAAGCCAGCCTCAGCAGCTTAGTGAGATCCTGTCTCAAGAAATAAAAGTCTGGGGATCCTGGTTGAGTGCCCCCTGGATTCAATTTCCATTACTATATATATATATAATATACGTGTGTGTGTGTGTGTGGTTTTAGCTGTCATCTTGGGTCCAACAGGTTCGAATTCTACCCCACTAACACTAGAGAATCGTTGAGTTTTACCAAATCAAAGATGTCATCTATTATGAGGTTCACCATTAAGAAAATTCACTGAGAGATCAAAATGTGGGGAATCTATCCAATAATTATCCATATGGTGGCAACCCCCATCTAACATTTAGAAATAGATTTTTTTTGTAGATTTTACATTGCTTATTTTCTATTAGCAAAATTTAGAAATGCTATTTTTGAGTAGTTACTATCAAAGTTGGCCAGTTCACAAATTTATGAAGAAAAATTCTTAATGGTATAGCCATACTTTTTTTTTTTTTTGAAACAGGTGTCACTAAGCTGCTGAGGGTCTTAATTGTCAAAGCTGGCCTCAAATTTATGATCCTCCTGCCTTACCCCCCCCCCAGTTGCTGGGATTACAGGTGTGCACCTGGCTATGGCCATTCTTTCGAGATAGTTCTGTGTAGTTCATCTCCAGTTCTCATCTGCATAGATTTTCTGCTGCTAACTACTGATCAGCTGCCCTGGATTCTTGTGCATTCCATACATTAGAAAATAAGAGTATATATGGGGCTGGGGCTGGGGCTCAGCGGTAGAGCGCACACCTAGCACGTGCATGGCGCTGAGTTCACTCCTCAGCACCACTTAAAAATAAATGAATAAATTAAAGATATTGTGTTCAACTGCAACTAATATATATATATATATATATATAGAGAGAGAGAGAGAGAGAATACTTAGGCATGGTGATGCACCCTATAATACTTGTAATCCCAGTGACTGAAGCTGAAACAGATTTGCAAATTCAAGGTCAGCCTGGGAAGTTTAGGGAGACCCTGTCTCAAAAAGGGCTAGGGATGCAGTTCAGTGTTTGAGTGCTGTGGGATTCAATTCCAGTACTGCAAAAATAAGTTGGGCTTCACACTGCTATCCCTCACCAAAAAAGGGGGCCACCTTGCAAGACAGTAAGAACTGTATTTATGTTCTATTTCTTTTCAATTGTATAGATGGAGAAAAGTTCAAAATGGGCACTTTGGAAATGGAAAAGAGTTTTTATGGAGTCCTTTGAAGGGACTGTGTTGCATGAGGAATGGAAATATATTAACAGAATTGTGCCTCTCAAGTCAGGTTAACTTGCTTGCCATTTGGTCATGTTCTCATCTATTTCTTCCCCCTACCATTAGCATAATACATATTCCTTTGGAGTTCAGTAGTAAGGATAACTTTGATTGGGTCTTTTTTTTTTTTTTCCAGAACTGAGAATTGAACTTTATATTTTATTTTGAGGCAAGGTCTTACTAAATTGCCAAAACTGACCTCAAAATTGCCATCCTCCTGCTTCAGCCACCTGAGTCCTTGGGATCACAGGCAAGCACCACTGCACCAGGCCTGGCTGCATCCAATATTTTAGGTGGACCCAGAGAGAAGGAGGCATTTTGATTCATGAAGGTTCAGAATCCCCTTCCCTTCTTGCCCACCTAAATGTACTGCCTGCACAATGGCTGTTGGGGAGAGGAGACATTTGGAACCAGGGTGCCAAGGAAGTAGGTTAACATAGGGCATGTACCGTGTTGAGCGAGAGCCCATCATAATCCATTTTCCTAAGGTGTCTAAATGCTTTGGATTGTCCCTGACACATTTCTTGATGTATAAATTAGTATGTTCTCTTGGGTAATAACAGAAACAAGTTTTTCAGGTTGTGCTTAAAAAATAAGAAACATATAGTACCTAATCAGTAGTATTAGTAATTAGTAATCTACTTTCAGAATGTTTTCTTAAGCATTTATGATGAATCCTTCCAGGGCTTTATGTAGATTCCCAAGAGGTAATGTTAAACATCACTTATTTAGGAATTCTTACTCAAAGATGAAGAGTACGAATGGACTAGAAAGAAATTTAAAAGCTAAAGCGAAAAGTCAGTTTTATTTTTTTTTTAACATTTTTTAGTTGTAGATGGACACAATATCTTTATTTTATTTATTTGTTTTTTATAGGGTGCTGAGGTGAGGATCGAAGTTCTACCACTGAGCCACAACCCCAGGCCTTAAGTCAGTTTTAAATACCAAGCCCTTAGATTGTCCTTAGCCTTTGTTATTATTGCTCCAAGAATTTTCTTTTTTTGGGGGGGAGTGAGGTACTGGGGGTTGAACTCGAGCACTGAGCCTCATCCCCAGCCCTATTTTGTATTTTGTATTTTATTAGAGACAGGGTCTCACTGAGTTGCTTAGCACCTCGCTGTTGCTGAGGCTGGCTTTGAACTTCGATCCTCCTGACTCAGCCTCCTGTGCTGCTGGGATTACAGGTATGCACCACTGCACCCGGCTCCAAGAATTTTTTTTTTTTAGAGAGAATTTTTTTTTAATATTTATTTTTTAGTTTTTGGTCGACACAACATCTTTGTTGGTATGTGGTGCTGAGGATCGAACCCTGGCCGCACGCATGCCAGGTGAGCGCGCTACAGCTTGAGCCACATCCCCAGCCCTCCAAGAATTTTTTAACTAATAAAAAAGCAAAAACCACAAAGACTTGCACTAAAATATAAACAGGTTTGTCTTTCAATTATCAACACAGCATTAGACTGTAGAAATAGGCTGTTTATACTGATGTTAGCCAATATCCAATTCTCATAAACCCATTGTTACACAAGGAATGCAGGCTGGAGAAGAATGTTAGAAGAAAAATCTTACCAAGTGTGATAGAAGTGGCTACAGGATGTACCTCTCATGCTGTGTTTTTGTCTCTAGAAAAACTGGTTATGTGGGTAATCAAGAGCAACAGGTTTTGGGGGGCAGTAATAATTTTATCAATATGCAATCCACATTTAAGCTGTGGGGGCGGAGAGTGTTGGGGATGGAACCCAGGGCCCCCTGCATTCTAGGCAAGTGCTCTACCACTAAGCTACACTCCAGCCCCACATGTAAACTTTTACTTGACATTCTGCTACCCAGAAGTGTGAGGAGAGACAGTCGTTACAAAATCAGAGGCTGAAAAGAAAGAAGTAGCCTCAC